GGTATCTAGCATGTCTATATCACCAGTAAGGACACACAATGTCTTAGAGCCACATTACTCTGGCACTGGTAGCTGTTTGAGGCACAATCTCCCCCATTTTTGATGTCAGGAACCTTCACAGGTGTTAGCTGGTGGGTAACAAGTTGGTTCTGGTGGTTGGATAGTTGGTGGATGTTGGTGAGACTGTGAATCTTCTGCCAGCTCTTCAGAAAATATACATCCTGTCAAGAAAATAACTCAACATTAGTCATCATCAAGAGGGTAACATCTTGACAGGAAAGATAGAGCAAGCATAGTCATCAACCCCCATCTGCTGACTCCTCCCTGCTCTCCTGTTTCATTCCTCAGATAGTCTCTCCAGACCAAAAGACATAAGTCTCCTATATTTATCTGTCTGTTTAGTGCAAGAGAAGGCAAGTCAGATATACAGTGGAGATAGATAAAGTGGTCTAACACATATATCACTCTCCCTATCCCCCTCACTCTGCACACAAACACCAATATTTACCGTCAGTACCTGCATTCCCTAGCTTTCCCAACCGCCCCAGCACTCATTGTTCTGGGTCAAGCACACACATACTTTGATTAACACAGCCCTGACCCAATTCTGTCCCCATCTCGGATGTACAGATTCTGTAAGTAGTTTAAACCGTACACAATTGTAAGGGCATTAAATGTTTATCAGTATGGGTGGTTTATTGAGGGCATAAGCTATTTAGTCTGTACAGTGGAAGATCTACGTTCGAATCCGCTACTCTAGCGATCAAGAATGGTAGAACTAAGTGAGATCACACAGCCGATATGGATTTCTCTACAGCAGTGACTACTTTACAGACAACATTCTAGGTACTCGTAAACTATAATTAACTTACCCAAGCATATGTAAAACTAATATCTTTCCAGATTGCCTTGAAAATTTAAAGTATACAGGCACAGATTAACACATCTGGAGGCTTGAGAAGCTGGCAAGGAGAATGGCGTCAGATAGACATTTCAGGCGTCGGTACAAAAGAAGTTCCTTGTATACTGGGGCAAGGAGTAAATCGGTTTCCAAGAAACCTCAATTAACTCCCTAAATATATCCCCAAAAGAAATACATTTAAACGTGGAGTTTAGTTAAAGTAACCAGAAAAGGCAGACATAATAATGTTGTCCAATACAGGCCTATATATATAGATATAAGGGACTATATATTCCTGGGCGAGTCCAAGTTTGAATTTTGTGCAGATTACAGGTAAGACAGGTTATCAGCCTTACAAACCGATGTGTAATGACTATCATTTCACGACATATTCCATATTCTAGTGTTGGCCTCACATAGCCTGTATAGGTCCTCTTAAGGACATTGAGGTTTGCCCCCCAGTCTGTTCCAGCTAACTTCCTCATCAGTTGTGTTCTCTTGAGTCCCTTGCTCTGTGTCTTTTCTATCTGTTTTCTCCACGTGAGTCTTGGGTCAAATGTTACTCCTAAATATGACGGTGAGTCATCATGTATCAGTGACTGGCTGCCATATCTAAGTGAAACTTTCTGGGGTTTGGTAGAGAGACTGAAAATGGTGTGTGTGGTTTTGGCCCCATTTACAGGCATGTACCAGCTATTGGACCACCTCTCTAGAGTTCCGAGGGATTCTTGAAACCTTGTCTGTGCTTTTTCAGTGTCCTCCTCTGAACTCAGTAGCGCCAGATCATCGGCATACATAACGGCTTGAACTCCATTACAAAGGGTTGATTTTATGTCGTTAATGTAAACTAGGAAAAGAATTGGGGACAGAACTCCGCCTTGTGGAACTCCATGTTTCATTGAGACTGATCTGCTCCTTGAACCCTGCATCTTGACTCTTGCAGATCGATTTTCAAGATATTTTACGATCCACCCAAGCATGTGATGGGGTATTCCACTTTCAAGTAGCTTTTGTTTCAGCCTATTTTTCCACACTTTGTTGAAGGCCTTTTCCATATCCACCCAGACTGCAATAGTGTGCTTTTTTCCCTGGAATGCATCTTCAATGTGTTGAGCAATAAATGTAATTTGGTCTTCTGTTGATCTACAACGTCTAAAACCTGCCTGTTCCTCCATTAGTTTGAAGTTTTTCTCTAGGAACCAGGTCAGTCGGTTGTTCAATAATCTTTCAAATAGTTTGCACAGACAGCTAGTGAGGCTGATGGGTCTGTAGCTGTCTGCGTTGTTCTTCGGCTTTCCTTGTTTCAGGATTACAAAGATTTCAGACTTCCTCCAGGCTGGAGGAACTATACTAAAAATCCAGCTGGCATTAAAGATGTTTAATAATTTCTTTTTGGCACTTGGACCCATGTGTAGTAACATATCATTTGTGATTTTATCGGGGCCAGGGGCTTGGTTGGATTTCAGCTGGTTAAGTCCTGTATTAAGTTCACTCATTGAGAATTTATCTGTCATGATGCTCTCTGCTTGTTTACTCTTGCTGGCCTCCTCGAGTTCTTTAATTCTTTGTACTACCTCATCTTCTCTGGACTTTTCTATATTAATATCACTAACAGATTTAAACTGATTTAAAAGGATATTTTCAGCATTGTTTCCAGATCTGATTTCATTGCTTTCATTTATTACTACTGGATTGGCTTGTTGGGCTTCTCCATTTAGGCACTTGACTAGTTTCCAGAGTCTGGACTTATCTTTTTCAAAACTTAGGCTCTTGGTTTTGTCTTGCCAGCTCTTCCTAGTTGCTTGGATTGTTTCTTTTTTTTAGCTTAGCTTCTGCTGCTTTGTACGCAATGTTGTTTTCTACCGTTGGGTTGCTTTCTACTCTATCTCTTGCTTCTGAGAGAGTTTGGTGGAGGTCTTGAATTTGTTGGGACCAAAATGGGATGTAATCTTTCCTTGAACCTCGTTGTTGATAGATACATTATCTAGGCTGTTTTTCTAGTTTTGCGAGTGGTGACGTTGTACAGTTGCCACTTTTAAGGTAGGGCTCACCATGATATGGTTTCACTGAAGTGTTAAAGATTAAACACAGTCTTCATTCCTGCTAGGGTTTTCTGACATTCAAGAAGGTATGCGTGACGTCATGTTTGTGGGAAAATATTCTCCCACACTATCTGTGCCTTTCGACCTGGCGTCTCCGTCTTCAACGTGCTTTTCTTTCAGGATGTGCTTCCTTAGCCCGTAACCAACCAAGGCCTGACCACCGGGCAGTGGTAGTTTAGTTTCAGAGTATCCTTCTCATAGGTGGGCCGCTGTCCCCAGCTATCGAGTCCCACCTACCCGGGGAAAATACCTAATTAAATTTTGAGCGGCATCCTGTGTCGGCGTGGCAGCGCTTCACCAGTCCGGTTGTATGCCACCGTGTGTACGCCCACAGGACAATTACTGTCTAAAATGCCATAAATCCATGGGGCCAGGTGAAACACAATCGGGCCTGTTTGTGCCCCGTTGGCAACAGAGGCTTCCGTTGCAGAAAACCTATTATAATACACTATATTCCATTTTTAACGAATATTGATCTACAAGGTCACACAAAAACTATTTCATAGTAAGCCCGACGGAACAACGGTCACAGTGATATAAAATTATCCTCAGATATCCAATGCAACAGGGCTAAAAAAATCTAAAATGATGAGAGCGAAAAACACACGTCCTGTCCCTTGGACGTGATTGCGGAGCCCCCCAACTTGGCTGTGATATCCATACCTTTTGGTCCAATACATCTGGTCTCAACAAACCCTTAAATAGTTGCCTTTAATGACATGTTTGTTAAGGGGCACGTAAATAAACAGAGAAAAAGACGAACACAACTTTTGCCTTTTAACTTCTGTTTAGGCATTCTGCTTCAGTCTTCTCACACATGTATTGTGAAGGGGCAGCGGGTTGGTTCTCACCCTCTCTGCTCCAGAGCAACAAAGCCTGGCATATGATATCACAATGTCTAGTTTGAGAATGGAGGTGGAGGTAGTCACTGCTGCTATCTGCTGGCTTAAGAATCATATGTACACACATGCCGTCATTGTAACTAACTCACAGAGCATGTTGAGAAAGATGGAGACTGGCATTCTCCGTGCATAGTGGCAAGCATCATCACTTCAAAGGTCCCAGGTAGCTAGCATCCTTTGGATTTTTTCTCCAGGTGATGTCAGTGTGTTGGGAAAGGAGCAGGCAGATAGACTGGCCGGCTCTGCACTACTTGGTGGTGAACTTATGTATGACAAGCTGGATGTTGTGCGGGCCCTTTGGGAGTGAGTGCACAGTGTAGAGTCACAGATAGATCATTACTGTCTGAGGAGAATGGTACTGCGAGAAGTTACAAGGGGATCTGGCCGACGCTTGACACTGAGGGGAAAGACGAGATAGATATACAATCAGACAGTTACTGATACCATCGGAATATTAATTCTTCGCTTGCTGCTGAAGATGGTGATGGAGCGCTTATGCGGGTGTCCCGAGAGCTATGATATCAATTCAACATTCTCCTCTTGAGGGAGCCCTTGAATGCACAAGGGATGATATCTGAAATAATTGACCATGCTTGTTTTCTGTCTAACAGGGAAAATGTTCAAATCTTCGGATGTGCCTGTCATTGTGGAGTTTTTTCTGATGTTCCACGCAGATAAGCCCATAGATTGGCTTCTGGACCACTTCTTATGGGTCAAGGTTTGCAGTCCAGAAAAAGATGCAGTAAGAACATTTCATGTGTTTCTTTTTTTCCCTGACAAGTCTTATAAACTTAATTTGGCTCTAAAAAATTTTTTTTAAATTATAATTTCAAGTGAAACGGAGGAGTTCTTTTCATGCCATTGCGGTAGTGAGCAAATGGTATTAAATATATTGTCTAGACCAAATGCTATCGAACCGTCAGCATCCCATCAGCAAACCTGTTACCGTTTTATATTAGTTTAACCCTAGAACTCAGGTCAGTTCTAAATATCCACCATTTATAAATTATGTTAGATAAAAATCTAGCTCCAAAGCCAGTCACCAAGAAATTTTAAGCTGGGTAAAAAAATCAGTGCTAATGATTCTGCCAAAAATCCCTAAAATTAAAGTAATAAAATGTATCTAGCCTAAGAAACAGTGCTGGGTGCCGGGTTTGATTTCAGCTGAAGGCCATTTGGCAGCAGAACATCTTCTGTTAGTTTCACCAATGGTACTGACAGCTGACCATTTAGAAAGCAGTGGCAAACTACTGAACCATAACAGCCACACACAAAAAAGATAGAGTTGGTTCTGCAACTAACAATAAACAAGGGTATGGATAATGTACTATCTGGTGGTGATCCAAAGTGCAGGCAAGGAAATCCTAATTTTTTATATTTCAGAAGAAATTTGCACAGCAGAAGATGCCAAGAGAGTACAGAAAACTGCATTTATCTCCTGCCCTCATTTAGTTACTTCAGTAGCATTACCTTCTTTATTTTGTGTTGTGTTTCATTTCTTGTTGTTGTTTGTTCATGAAGGCTTGTCACTGCAATGCTCTTTGTTTGTTAACTGTTATGGTAGTTTAATAAAGCTGACTTATACTAACTAAGAGCACTGTTGAACACAGTATTCTTACCAATGCTATGCTATCAATGTCAGACATGGACACTGTCTTCAGAGGACAGAAGACAAATAGTCACGACAGAAATGAAATGTTTACATACTAGGCGAGGTGTAACAAGGAAAGATCACGTTAGGAATGATGATATCAGGAGGAGCGTCAGCACAGAACCAACATTGATCTTTATCAGTAGACAACAGATCAAATAGTTTGGCCATGTTATGAGATTGGCATCAGGCAGGGCACCACAGAGAGCAGTGTTATACAGATATGGTGGTAACAGATCCAGAGGTTGACTGCGCAGAGGATGAACAGCGGAACAAGGCGCTGAAAAGTATTATGTACGCAGCAAACAGACGGGCCTGTTCCATAGATCTCTTCCTGCCCTGACTCTACGAGGAGTTCCAGGAGTAGGGGAAAGAAGAAAAGGAAGAAGACATATACTTGTCTAATTGTTTACATTTATAGCTGATCCAACCCATTTAATAAAATTATTAGAAAGCTATGGACCTAGAAGGAAAATACTAAAGATATCCAAGACTTTGAAATCAAATAAAACTGGCTCATAAACAGCAACATGTTTCAGAAGTGGAAATAACTTTGGCCACACTAAATTTCACATCAGCTTAGAAAAAAATAAACAGTAAAGGAAGTTATGACCCCTGAAAGAAAAGTGCAGGGGTTGACCAACATGAAAGTGGACACGGGGCATTAAAGACACCCTGGGCATTCAAGAGGCAGGCAAAACTGGTAAAGGATCAGTAGATTTTCTCAAGAGTTGTAATGAAAGAGGTCTTTTTACTATTACCAAAAAAAAAAACACAAAATGGCAGGCTTTAAGTACAGCCAAAAAGTACTTAACAAAATATTTGTCATGAACTTTTACAACTTATCTGTGATGTGACCTGGGTTTTCTGTGAACTTAAATGTAATGTGATCCATGCTTTCTCTTAACTCTAATGTTACTGAGGTTCTGTTAGCTTATTTAGCCTATCTGTGATTGATATATGTTTTCTCTATTTCTGAACTAGAAACACTGCCAGCGCATGATTCAAGCCGTGCGGCGCAGATTTAAGCCCTCATTGTTTCAGCACATAGGCGTGGAATCATCTCTCAAAGGAAAAGTGCAGAAGCTGAAAGTAATTTGAACATAACACATTACTGTCAGTTACACTAGTTTCATTTAGTTCGTTTACTGAGAAACATATTCTTGATTCCTCACTGTAATCTGCTGATTTAATGACAATACAGTTGTTTTACACCCCCACCGCCACCAAACTCCCCCACAAACCCCCCCCCCCTTCCCATCCGAAGGATGCTAACTACCCGGGACCTTTCAAGTAATGCTTGCCACTATGCACGGAGCATGCCTGTCTTCACCTTTCTCAACATACTCTGTTAGTCAGTTGCAATGACGGCATGTGTGCACAGATAATTCTCAAGCCAGCGGAAGGCAGCATATTAGTAACACTTCCTCTATATCTGTCAAATATTGCTAGAAAAATTTGCATTGCATACATTTGTAATTAGTTCCCTTTATATTTCCTATTAATTATGCTTAGCGAAAATTTGTAATTAGTTCCCTTTATATTTCCTATTATTTATATCCAGCGAACATTTGTAATTAGTTCTCCATACTTTATGTATCTTGCAGGCATTCATAATTAATTGTCTCTAGACTGTTTGTCATAGCATGCATTTGTAATTTGTATCAAAGAAATATTTTCAATTGGGAGCCATGTTTGCTAGCTGCTTACCTGGCAGCTCAAAGTTCAAGCGTACAAATCTGCAACAAGGTGGATATTCTCAAAAACTGACCTTCGCTATTATGCCAGACCAGACTACAATGGCTACCAAGTAATGTTTTGGGAAGTACAGCTGGCCTGCTTCATGTTGACCATGTCACTCATCAAATAGCTATTGGTCTTTACAAATTCAGCCAACAGGTCTGATGTGCCAGCAGCATGAAATGGATTCTTAATTGTTTTTGAATACATTTGAATTAGTTCTCCACATATTTAGCAAAGATGTTAAATGAATCCTCCCCAGATCATGTGTTTGGCTTGGACTCATAAATTTATGGCTGACCTGTATGATCTCATTTCAGGACCGAGATTTCGGCAAGGCTGGCTTGTACAGGGCCCATGTCAATCCACCCGTCCAGCTAGCCTCATCATTGAAAACCTACCAGAAGTATTCCCTCAGCAAAGCTTACGTTGGGGAGACATTTTTCTGGGCCTCAAACCCATCAAAGGGCGACATCATCGATTTTACATTTGATCCTCCAATACATATAGATGTGTAAGTTTCCAGAACTTCAAGAACTACATTTTATCATTTATACAGATTCACATTTTCAATGTAAGGGACATGATCTGTACGTTTTGCAGTTGGCGTAGTTGGCATATGGGGCTAAATATATTGTATAGACTAAGTGACACTGAATAGTCAACATCCCACTAGCAGCTTTTACTTTCCAGGGCAATTCCTGCTACTTTTTTTCTACGTTTCCAAATTTTGGTTAACTTATAATTCATGTTTGCAGTTGATTACATTGTATCAGCTTTACCACAACCCATTCTTTGTATCAGCTTTACCACAACCCATTCTTTGTATCAGCTTTACCACAACCCATTCTTTGTATCAGCTTTACCACAACTCATTCTTTGTATCAGCTTTACCACAACCCATTCATTGTATCAGCTTTACCACAACCCATTCTTTGTATCAGCTTTACCACAACCCATTCTTTGTATCAGCTTTACCACAACCCATTCTTTGTCCTTTGTGTGCCATTATATGTCACGTACTGCTGGCAGTCTATTCCTTCATTCCGTTCTACACTGTGCAATCAGTTTGATATCAGGGATGGAATCCAGTCCAGCGGCTTTGGCCTCTCTCACCAGCATTCATTTTAGGGTTTCTTTTAGGCTTCCTCACCTCAATCCCTTTATTTCCCATGTTAATGCCTGTTTGGTGATTCTCTACTGGTATCTTCTTATGATGTATCCAGTATAGTGCCATCTTCTGTGTCTTATAATGTTGATACTGACATTTGCCCAGACCTTTCTCTTATTTCTTCACTTCTTTTCAATAAACCATATTTTTACTTTCCTCATGCATTTGTTTTCAAATGCATATAACTTTCATTCCCAGTCTCAAGTGGTTCGCCAACTTTCGCTGGCATATGTTAAAACTGAAATAATATTAAAATTGAAAATAAGCAACTTGGTTTTCTTCTGCGTTCATCTGAAGATGTAATTGTGTTGTGTCCGTTTACAGCATGGCTGCGATATTTGCATCTTTCGGCCAACACATCCGACTTCTGCGGGCATTTGTTGACCAGGTTAGCCTTCCCGGTAACAACTTGGTTTTAAAACTAAACAATCAATTAAGAGTTTCGTATTTTGTTCAAGCTGGTAGTCTGGTAGTCTTAGTTTCAGATTCATAGCAAACGGGTCACCCCATCTTTGCTCCGCTCCTGTGCCAACGAAAAACACACAGAATGTTTATCACAGTATTAGAATTGCAGTTCATCATTGATGGTAGCAGAAGTCGCCAACAGATCAGCAGTTGCCCACGCGATCAATTTTAATCACATACGGGCACCACAACACTGCACAACAGGCATCGCGCCATTTTCTGAATCTACAATTCACACCAACACGTTGGTCACAGTCGAAAAAACATTCCAAATGCAATCCGCAGCTCACAGGGTCACGCCATGCATTCAACTCAGAAGCTAGGCGACGAAACTATATCCAGTCTACAAATGGCTGTTAAAAGCTGCTGATGCCTTGCCAGTACACGTCATATTTTCTTTCTTTGTGTTTTCTTCACTGTCAAAATTACCATCTAAGTAAGTAAATTGATCAGTTACTTCAATTACTTTTGTCTCTGGCCTTACGTCTGCTTGATCTGTTGTTGGTGTCTCCAGTATATTTTTTTAATCTTTTCATAACTTATTTGTAGCCCAACCTTTGATGCTGTATTTGCTTAATCTTGTTTTTCTTTGCATTTAATTGCTGTTTTGACTTACCACAACCCACCTGCTGCGATAAAAAAGACATTCTACAAAGAAACTGCCATAATGTTGGTGAAATTGGATAATGATAATTAGACATCGATAAAGATTCATTAATGTATTATATTTTATCATTTAAAAAAGCATGTTAAACAAAATAAATGAAAAAGACTTTGCAAAAAAATTTGTCACATACTTTTTTTAACTAATCTGTGATGAGACTCAGGCTTTCTGGTAATTAAAACTAATTAGTTTGTTTAGTTTGTTACACTGACATTTTCATCCTTTTATTTAATGATGGGATGAGTTGACAACAGAGTAAAGGCAAAGAAATAGGAGAAATGTCTGTCGAGCCACTAGTTAGAACAGAATATTAAAGCATTTTACCCTTACCTCTACAGGACTATAATGTCTGTCGAGCCACTAGTTAGAACAGAATATTCAAGCATTTCACCCTTAACTCTACAGGACTATTATGTCTGTCAAGCTACTAGTTAGTACAGAATATTAAATCATTAACCCTTACCTCTACAGGACTGCAGTGAATTAGCCATGACAGGTGCCTTTATCATCTGCCTTTGAAGTTGAATAGGAAACCTTCTGGTAACAACCTGGAGGGAGAAAAACTATGTCAGCCTTGTAAAAAAAAAAAAAAAAAAAAAAGAGAACTGTGATATATTGGGTATATTCTGAAATGAACAAAGAGTCACAAAACAAGCACTAAAATAGGAAACTGGTGGAGAAAGCCAGGGTGTACAGCTAAACACTACCACAAATGTAGATGTGATAAGACAGACGTGCCACTTTAGATGAAGTACAGGTGTTTGAAGAATTGCCCAGGAGAGAATGGATTAGAGGAATCGACTGCAGACTGCAGACCCAATTGTTTGCAATAATAATGATATTTGTAGATGGTTCATCAAGTTTGTTCCATGCTGATAAATTTTTGTTCTTGAACTTTGTTTCATTTCAATAGATAATTGTTATTTGACTTTATTTCATTCTGATGAGAAATTTTTTTTCAACTTTATTTAATTTTTTTTTTTGGGATAGATAATTGTTATTTAACTTTATTTCTTTGTGATGAAAAATTGTTTTTTTTTTTTTTTGTAACTTTATTGTATTATTTTTATTTATAGATAATAGTCATTCAACTTTATTACATTTTGATTAGCATTTGTTCTTTAACTTTGCTCTTTAACTTATTTTACTTTGATGAGTTATTCTTTAACTTATTTTACTTTGATGAGTAATTCTTTAACTTATTTTACTTTGATGAGTAATTCTTTAACTTATTTTACTTTGATGAGTAATTCTTTAACTTATTTTACTTTGTTGAGTAATTCTTTAACTTATTTTACTTTGATGAGTAATTCTTTAACTTATTTTACTTTGATGAGTAATTCTTTATCTCTGTTTCGCTTGGACAGATATTTATTCAGGAGTGGGAACACAGACCACCCTGGAGATTTATTTCACAATACAACAATTGAAATTCTGACCACGGAGACACTTAGCGAATCAGAGATTCATAAAATTGCCAGACGGGCAGGCTTGAGTCAGGCTGAAATTGATGAGACATCAGAAGGCTTTATTCCTATTGGTCGCTTTAATGAGGGAGGGCTGGCCCAAGGAGAAATTCCTGAGGGTGTGGGCTCTGTACGCACTCTCCGAATTCATGTTCATGAGGAGTCAGATTCTTGGGTGATTTTAAGTGAGGTAAGTAGGTGTTCTGTACAGTGTTGAAAGTGGGGTTTTTTAAGTGACCAGAAGAGATCAAATCAGGAATGAGGTCATACGATATAAAGTCAGCACAGAACCAATTCTAAATTAGATACAAAGACAGCAAATCAAATGGTTTGCCTACTTGGAGAGAATGCCTTCTGATTCTATACCATACAAGGCATATACCAAAAGAGGAAAAGGACGTAAAGCAAGAGGTAGACCTAGAACAAGATGGAAAAATAACATCAGAGAAACTCTACAGCACCATGATGTGTCTACGGTTGAAGCAGCCATAAGTGAACAAAGCAGGACCTTATATCTGTCTCGACACACAAAGTTGTAAAAGAGGAAGTAAAGAAGAAGAAGAAGCATTAAAGTCGATCTTTTGGACTTTAGCTTTAACTAACCTCATTTGTGATAACTTGGCATCATCATCATCATCAGTTGCCTTGCCGACTGGCGTGGGCGATCATGCCTCTCCATAATCTGCAATCTTCTGCAGCATGTATCAGTTTGTGTGCCGACACACCTCCATGCAATGCCACAAGACTGTCAAGCATCTTCTTTCCTTGTCTTCCTCTATCCCTCCTTCCACAGATCGTTCCAGTGGTCACAACATGTTCTATTCTCCCTCTTCTCATAACATGGCAGAAAAATGATGACTGTCTCCTTCTGATGTCAGTGATAAGTTGTCTTTGGGCTCCCGCCTCTTTCAAAACCTCTTGGTTGCTCTTTTTGGCTGTCCAAGGTATTCGAATCATTCTTCGGTAAAACCACATCTTGACATACCATGACATGATGCTATAATGTTAAAACAATGCTCCATATATCCAAACCCAACTTGAAAAGTGAAGGGCCCTTTCCCACACCTTTAGGCATAATGGGCATATAGGGCTAGACCTATATTTTATAGACCAATTTGCACTTGATGGGTGATGTTGTCAGCATCACACCAGTTGCCTTTGCTTCCCAGGATGAATGGTGCTTGACAACTAAAACATAGCTTCAAAAAGGAACAAAATGTTACAATTTGGCATTCAAAATCTTTGTAATTTAATAAGTGAAATTGTTCAGATAGCACACAAAGATACTTTAGGGTTCAACCAGTCAAATGACAGTTTGACATTTCTTTTGCATCCGTGTCGTTGATTTTTATTTGGATATCGCACAAGGATACTTTAGGATTCAACCAGTCAATTGACAGTTTTTTTTAGGTGTACAGGCTTTCCCGTCAACTAATAAAAACATGCCATCACATAACCGTGTTGTTTTTTTCCACACAGGAAAGAGCTGTTGGATAACTATGCATTTCATTTTTTGAACAGCCTACTATTATGTTGTAATACTGAATAGATGTGTTGCCTGTCCACAGATAATGATTCAAGAGAGTAAGAGGTAGCATCTATACGTGGGCTGTATCAGTATTGTTCATTCCAAGCAATTATAATATTTACAAGATCTGTGTTGAAGAGAGAGAGAGAGAGAGAGAGAGAGAGAGAGAGAGAGAGAGAGAGAGAGAGAGAGAGAGAGAGAGAGAGAGAGAGAGAGAGAGAGAGAGAGAGAGAGAGAGAGAGAGAGAGAGATGTATATATTCTTCGCATTAACCTTTTGAACCTACCGGTCCTTTATTCTGTGCTGTGTGTGGCTCATTGACTTAGAGCAGGGCTATTCAACTGGCGATCTATAGGCCAAATCTACCAAATCTGGCTCACGGAGACCTAGCAAGTGGCCTGCGAATCATTGCCAAGTTGTATTGTATTAGTGATCTTTCTATGCTGGGGCCCAGGCTTCTGGCCTGGACTGTCCCTATTTTCAAAATTGTGGCCCTTGAGTAAACTTAATTGAATAGCCCTGACTTAGAGATTATGGTTCAATAAACGGGTCATTTTTTCCTGCATAATACCTTTTGCAGGTGTTAGGAAATTGTCTTCTTCCCATCCACCAGCTGTAAACTCTGGTGGAAAGTTCTAGTTGTTCATCCATCTCTGGACATTAGTCTTGTTCCAGAAGGTGAGTGTTGTGTGCTCATCTGTTTTACAGTTCTGTATTATTGTATGCATACTATTGATTTCTTAGACAGATACACTCTGACTGTGAAAGAAGCCCACTATGTAGTTGACTCTTACAGCTCGCTTTTGAGGAGGCAGGGGTTCTATTGTTTTCCCCCACATTGGGGCCCCCGAACACACAAGGAGAGTTGGGAAATTGTAAAAATTAAGACTTTCCTGAGCAAGTCTGTAAAACAGATCATGTGACTGTGTAATGCTGGAACAGTGCGACACAGTGTCACCTTGTCTTCTCAAGGGTTTATGCTCAGGTTATCTGAAGGTCAAGGATAACAGGGTTCAAAAGGTTAATTGCAGTGTCTGTGTAGGAGCGCAGGAGAGAGACAGAAAGGATGGGGGGGGGGGGGGGGGAGAGAAAGAGAGAGAGGCTGGAATGGGTCATGGAATATTATCAAGTGGTTTGGATATGTGTTTGTGTGTGTATGAGAGAGAGAGAGAGAACTTTTGTTGTCAAACATGTAATTTTGCCTTTATTTGTAAAGATATGCATGTATTATTTCACAAATGGCAGTCTTGCAGATAATAGATGCACTCACTTCCATCACTCATCAGCATTGCTTCGTCAGATGTGAGGAATGTTTGAAATGTTAGATTTGGATGGTTTCTCAGCTGAAATGTGTTTCAAGCCAGGTCCGGCTTTATCTCCTTATACTTTTTCATCATCATCATCATTGTCCTCTAACTCTGCATGTCATTGGGTCAGCCAGTTCCCCCCTCCTCTGATGGTCAGATGTAGTAGACTTGATATTTGAATCATGCAAATTCAGAAAGACGGATTGGAAAAAATAATAGCAGAAGCGATGGTACCAGGAAGGAGGGGCAGGGGCCAACCAGCATGAAGATGGGCACAAGGTATATATGACTCCTTGAGTATGAAAGTACATGAGGCGGGAGAGCTGGTGAGAGACCGAGTTTCTTTCAGGCAGACAGTGATGAGAACGTTGTTCTGCAAAGAACCTGCTACATGATGATGATGAGATTAAAAAAATGGTGAGTAGCCTTTTGCCAGAGCACGGGCGGTACCTTATGCAATTAATTGCGTGTGCAACTATTGATCTGTTGTAACTGCTGCTTCCATCAATGATGAACTGCATTTCTAGTGCCGGAATGGTTATGTTGGCACTTCTGCATTTATTTTGTGTGGATGCTATCGGATTTACTGTGAGACTGCAGCCTGAGTCAAACTTGTTCTTTCTCCACAAGGACCAGTGATAAACAGTCTGTATGGGTATTTTCCCACCTGTAAGACAATACGTTTTTCCCTATTTTTTCAGTTTAAAAAGTGGGAGTTGTCTTATACATTGAATGTATTAAAAAATTATTATTTCTCAATTTTGGGCTAAAAAATGGGTCGTCTTAATAATGTCTTAGTTATGGTAGCGTCGTCTTATACACGAAAAATGTAATATTTTTGCATCGATGAAGATTTGTTCTCCATAGCTTGAAGCAGAGGCTTTAAATCTATATGGTCTCCTATCCTTGTTTAGAAAAATTATTGTGCAGAACCCTTCTGGAAATGTACTTTCATTAAGTGAACAGACAAAAAGATGCAATGATAAATGTACGTTCTTTTATGTACCTATATTTCTTCCCACATTTGTTGATATAGTAAAGAATTGTGTTGTTGTATGTAAGATATTGTAAAGCTTGATGTAGTAAAAGTTGTTTTAGAAAACAAAAAACCCTACCAACATTATGCATATAAAATTAACAAAACAGCAGTTAATATTAAACATAAACATTACAAATAACATTAAAAATTAAATCTGTGAGAAGGATGAAAGTGTGTTATTTTTATTCAGTACCCACTTACAGTTGTACTAGAAGCTGCTATTATTACCGCCCACCTGGATCGCTGAAATAGATAGGGGGAGGAATGTATAGAGATGAGCGAACAACAGTCTCAGAGTCCCCATCAAGGGCTTGTGTAAGATTTATAATACTGAATTTACACAGACATCAGAGGTTGAATGCAAAATTCCTATAACAGTGTGTCCCAAACTTTTCTTGGTAGCGGCGCCTTTTTTCAATTACAGTTTTTCATGGCGCCCTTACTTAGGTAAAAGTATGACTATTCATGTCTTGGTTTAATTAATCATGAAGCTTTTACAATATTTCATGGCTCCCATGTGAAGAAGTACGGCGGCACACAGTTTGGGAATCACTGTCCTATAAGTAAACAGGGTGTTCAGAGAAGTTACTATTATTACTGTTTAGTTACTTTTCATTACAGATTACTGCCTGGACAGCATTGTCCAAAGTGTACAGCAGTACTGCTACCTTGTTCTTCTTTGACTGTCCTTCTGGTCCTGTCTCAGTGCTAGTATTCTTGTTAAACCTTTTGAGGAAAGATCATTCTACACACTGATTTTGTTATTTGAGCTAACTTTGAGACAGATCCATAGATGACAACATTTGGAGCATGTATATATTTCTGGATGGAATGTATGCCAACATAAACATGATTGAAATCAATGTTGGTTATATGCCTAGCTGACCACTGTACCAAGTTGACTACTGTACCAAGTTGACTACTGTACCAAGTTTACTATTGTAGCTAGTTGATTATTGTACTGAGTGAACTATTCTAGCTAGTTGACCAGCAGAACTGTTATTGATACTATAAGGTATTTTAATAGTGTTTTTAATTTATGTGTAAAATAGTGTTGCATTATGATGTTGTTAATTGTTAGTTATTGTGAAATATGTCACCTCTTAAAATAGCTTCATGTAAATACAAACAAATAACCAGATCAATAATCTTTGGAAATGGTGTTCAGAAATTGTAATAATTTTCTGCTTTGTATCTTGTAGTGGAACCTATGTCCTCCACACTGAACCTCCAATCTTTTGGTTTCCCTGTAGCTTCCTTGATCTTCTTCATTTGTTGTCTCACTGATACCAGGTTGTAGCCCAGTGTCCAGGTTTTCTGTAATTGTGTTGTGCTTCTCGGGTGGCTTGGGTGATGGATTTGTTCATCTTTTTTTTTTTAATGCTTCCTTGATGTCTTCCATATATTATTCATCTCAATATACATCTGCTAGAAGCAGCTTTTCCTTCTGGATAATTTCTGAAACCTGTTAATGTGTTTATATTAGTTTAAATGATTTTAACTTTTTCACCACTAAGCAACTCACCAGATGTCTGTTGGTTACTGCTTGTCCAACAGGCTTTTGTTAATTCTGCGTTTGTCTCTGGTTGTTACATTAATGTATTCTGTCTCAGTTGTCATCCTACCTCTTTCGACTCATAAAATCTTTTACAAAAATAAAAAGAATTTGTTTAAAAAAAAAATTTGAGTTAAAAAGAAGCGCATTGTTATACGTCTCTAAAAGTCCACCTGAGAAAATTGAAGAAGAAGAAAAAACACCACAAGAAATGTGGGCTCTTGATCAGCTGTTATCAAAATCTAAGCCTGCTAGCTGTTCTATGATCACGGCCATCAAGTCTCTTCATCAAAATAGATTTTTCATAGAGTCATTATTTTTCACAGAAATAGTTTTGATACATATCATCTCAGTGTACGTTCAGGGGATATTGTCCGGAAATCAAGAATAGACACTACCTACCCAAATGCATGTCATACGAGTCGACTCATTGAAAGCTTTCTTCAAATTTGGAGTGTATCAGCTTGAGAGGCAAGGAACCAATAGTCTGCATACTGATGAGTCAGATGTATAAAATGGATGCACATGTAACACTGAGGTTTTGGAACAGGACTAAACTTCAGAAGTGGGCAAACAACCAGAACTTTTACCAGAGTTGACAGCCAGTGGACGCGAAGAAGAAGATACACATAACAGAAAACAGGTCAGAACTCTTAAAAAACAACATGACCTAATATAGGTCTCATTCTGTAATTCTCTTTCAAAGACATTAAAATTAACAGTTATAAATTGACATGTGAAAAATTCCTTGATACCCAGTGAGTTAATTTGCTGTTTGTATGTATGAGTTGATCTGTGTGTCTGCGTAGGGATGTAGATTGCTGTAGGAAAACTACCTTGACTATATATCAAAGTTTTTGAACAAGTGTGTAATGGTGGTGCTGTTTTGTGGTAAGATATTTGTGTATTTTATTAATGTGTGTTGTGATTAATGTTATTGTTGTTGATTGTTGCAATTATAGATAACTTTAACTGTACTTCCCATTGTTATACAGTCATGTAATAACTGTTTTTGCACCAGTTATAAAAAGATGTAACTTAGTTATACATAGTGTTATTGTTCACTGCTGTACCAAAACATAACCTCTTCTGCCAGTTGTTACTGTTGTTCTAGAAGTGTCCTAGCAGTCATCCTTCTGTCCACTGTCATACAGTGGTATATGCAT